TGCTGGTGGGTCAGCCCTTCCCAGAGCACGCCAGGCAGCGACCCAGCTCTGTGAGCCCCTTGGGCTCTGCGCTCTGCAAAACCCTGCCCGCTAACCACAGGGTTGGGTGACTCCAACCTGTGCCAGCCTTCAGATGAATGAAACCCCTGGAGAGTTTCATCCCTGCCAGGAAATTCCTAGGATATTGGGACATGACGTAAAAAAGCCAGCAGTAGCCTGGTGAAAGCCAGCAGCTATCTGATGGCCCCAGCAGCCTCAGGACCTTCCTCCACTGTTGTTTGGAGACATCATCTGGCTCTTCCCTCCCCTCCTCTTTCCTACAAATTGCTTTTTCAGATGACTTTGTGACTGCACAATCCATTAAAAGTTGTCTTTGTCCCTTCCAAAAGCTTTCTGAGATACTTGAAAGAATTTCTCTGCTGCTGGTGATCCTGTTTAACATTTTTTCAGGAATTCATTTAGTCCCACAGCGATCAGCTGGAATGAAAAGCAGATGTCTCTGGAGTTATTTTCCCCATTCCTGGTGCTGCCTAGGGCCCTGCTGTCCTTCATTACTCAAAAAAACTCTTGCTGAGCTCCAGATGGAGAACCTGGTGCTCGCAGTCACCCAGCACCTTGGGAACACCGTGTCCGATGCCGGCATCGGGCTTGGCTGGAGTCGGTGGTGGCCAATGGAGGAGTTTGCACAGCCCAGGCTGCAGTGCCTGCCCCGGGACCCTGACAGCCTCCTCTCCCTCTCGTTATGATCTGCTTCCCATCAGTGAGCCAGGAGTTTTAAGCCTTCTCATCAGACATGTTTTAGACATACGGAAATTCCTCTGTAGTAGAGGAGATCTTTCTCAGGCTCTAAGGATTTCAGGTTGGCTTTTGCATAATGGTATTTCCAGAAGAGCTGAGTGGATGTTTTTTATTTGTTTATTTGCTTTGGGGGGTTATTTGGTAGAAACAGGCTAAAGCCCACAGAGGACAGTGGTGGGAGCCAGGATTTGGGCTGCCCTTCCCCATACCCCAGGCTGCCGAGCAGCATCCTCCTGCCTGCACCACTGCCCTCCTCTGCCTGCCACGAACTGCCTCAAACCTTCCCCGCTCCTTTCCCAGGGTTTTTGGATGAAAGGCCGTAAGCATTCACAGCTGTGCATACTCCCTGTGCTCTGGACATCACTGTAATGAGTTTGCTTCAGACTCAGCAATCTCCAGCCCTCAAACCCCCTGTGCTGGCTCCAGCATTGCTTGCTCCCTCTCCTGACATGTGCCGTGATCCTGGGCTGCGGGAAAAAGGGGCTCTTCCACACCATAGAGATGCTTTATTTCTTCACTTCCTAAGTGATGTTACATTTGAATTAATTTTTATGCTGGTTTCTTTTTCCCTCACAGAGATTAACGAGCAATTCAAACTAATCTGAAGTGACTCACACTTTACAGACGCACTGTGCTCGCTCACAGCGCGGATCTGCAGGGGAAAAATCTGGCGTCGGGTGGCATTTCTCCCAATCAAAGGCTGTGGTCCACGCACAAAACACTAACAAAATAACCCCACAATGCCAGTCTGAATGGAGACAAAATATGATGAAAAAGTAACTTTAATCTGGCTGTTTTTTCCCAGATACAGCTGAGTTTTGCACTGGTTTAAGAAATTGGTTTACAGAAAATAATTAGCATTGGGCAATTTCCTTATGGAAGCCAGCTCTTATCTTGGCAGAGACTAAAGTGCTTTTTCTTCTCAGTGACCTTTGCTTTGCTGACTTCTTTGGGAGCATCTTCTGGTGAATAATGGAAAGTGATGCCGTGTTCAAAGAGGATGTTGTTGCCAAGGGAGCTGTTAGTCCCCGTCTGTTTATAACCGTAAGACAGGAGCCCGGTTCAAAAGATGACAGTTGACGGTGGAAAGCACTAAAGCAATATTGTAGAACTCGAGCACTTCAGCTGCTGCTGAAAAAGAAAATTCCTGTTATGACAAAGGCTGAAAGGGAGCATTAATCCTAAAAAAAGGGCTGGAATCAAGCTGGCGTGTGAGATTTCCAGCAGTCTGAAGCAGAGAGGTGTGCATCTCTCTGCTACCTGGGACAAAGATGGGCTGGAATCCTTAAATACTACATTTTACAATTCATTTTAAGTCAGGCAAATAGGCCAGGTTTTCTGTGGTTTCTATGGAAAGGCTATGATTTGGGGCATTTTTGGACCTCCCAACCATGGAACAGCCTCCATGTGAGTTTCCCAGCAGCATCCCTGGCTCCTGCCTCCCCAGCCTGCCCGACAGACACCGCAATGTCACTGTCCTTGGGGTTTATCTGACCCTTGAGCAGTCTCTGATTTCTGCCCTGGGGTCTCAAGTTTAAACCACAGAGCTCCAGCTAAAGATATTCATAAGGGGGGCAGTCATCACCAAGACAGGGGTGACAAGCTACATCCCATGGCCTCTGAAAAGGGCGACTGAGATGGGGATCGGGCCACAAACAGTTCGGAAAAGTTCCTGCCGTACCCTTTGTTTTTCCTGTTTCTGTGTTGATTTCCATGCTACATCTGATGGATGGGCACCTGCATTTCATCAGGTCATGCAGCTCCACTGGTGCCCTCTTGCAGCTGTTTAGGATTGAAGCAAAGGTGCTGGAATTAGGTGAGAGGATTTAATGACCTCCCAACATCCCTGCTTTCTGTTTTTCTGTGATGTAAACCCGGAAAGTGAGAGGTCTCCAGGCAATGTGGTGGACTGGGAAACAATTTTTTGGAGAAGACCTGTCCCCACCCAGCAGAGACCTTTGTGAATGCACGTTTTAGCAGCTGAAACTACTGTAAGTGATGTTGTGGAGCAATCTGACCACCACCCACAAACACAGGTTGCCGCAGATCATACCTGCTGTGTGTGCTGGGTTAATTAGCAGGCATGGCCATGGCTTGGAGAATTTGCTAAGCTGGAGAGCTGTGTTAAACAGCTGCAGGAGGGCTGTCAGGTAGCAACGGTTTTATAGCAAAAGTACTATATTTGGGTCACATTTTGATTTTTCAGCCTGTATTTCTGAGGCTTTTTTCTTCTGGCCCTTGCCTTGTGACAGTGGCATCCAGCGGGGATTGGCTTTTAATGGTGGGTTTTAGTGGAATGCCTTTGCTGCTCAGGCTGTGTGTTCCAGGTTGCCTTCGGGAAGAGTTTGCCCTGGCTCATCCTGTCCCTCAAGGGGTTTGCACGCCAGGTGGGGACAGGTGTGCCTCCGCTTTTGGTGCCTTCGGGCTGCGAGCGGCACGCATGTGGTGCTGGTGGCTGAGGAGCGGGGTGCACCCTGTGAACGGTGGGAGCATGTGGCTATCGGCAACACGGCTCCTTGTCTCCATGGGAACCGGCAGCAGGAGCATCCTGACGTCTGGCCAGAGAGGAAGAGGAGGAGGAAAAGAGGAGGAGAGGAGGTGTCTTGCCACCTTCCCTGGGGGCTGTGACAGGGCAGCACTGGGCTCTGCTCACCAGCCAGCTCTGATCTCCCGGGGGACAGAGGTCTGCTGTGGGCTCTCAGCTCACATGCACACGGGTGATCCCTCCAAATCTAGGCCCCTCTCCCTCAACCACATCCCATGGGCTCATTCCCTATGATTGCATCAACTCAGGGACATGGAGATGGATGCTTTTATCTTTTGGGAGTCCAGGGAGAATGGGAGACTCCCAAATGAGCTACTTCTGCCCTGGTTCTGGTGCCCTGTCAGCAGGGACCCCAGCATCCTTCTGTCTCTCTGCCTCAATACCAGCCAAAGCTGATATACCCCCAGGCAGGGGCACAGCAACACAGGGCACAGGGCCAGGATGCTCATCCCACCCTTTTTTGCTGCCCTGTCTTACCAAGGGGATACATGTGATGGGATCTCACCTGGCAGCTGCTGGCTGAGCCTTTTGCCTTTGGTGCCTGCTGGTGGGATGGGAGCTGGCAGGGATGCTCTCCCACACTCAGGAGGCTGGGGAAGTGTCAGATAGACCAAACATCTCATTACAGACCTGATGTACACACACAAACACCAAGGAGCCCTCTTGGTGCATTACCCCAACCTAAATGTATTGCAGGACTTGCACCTCCCTCTTGCAGAGCTGAGGCAGCCAGGGAGGAAGGGAATGGATTAATCTGCTGCCTGTGCCTCACTGATCCAGGGCAGATTAGGAAAGCTGGAAGGAGGTCACTCAGCAGGGACAACTGGGAGCACGTCACTAAATCCCCACAGTGTAGGCTTTTGGCAGTTGGGAAAGCGTGAAAAATACGTGGAGCGTTTAATGGCACCAGAGTGCCTGGAACAGCAGGGGCACATGGGGCTGGGGTGTCGCGCTCCCTGGCACACCGGTGGTGGTTCTTCCCCTGCTGTCCTCACACTCATGTTGTGCAGAAAATCAGGAAAGTTCGTCATGACCCCTTGAAAGGATTTCTTGGGAAACTGGGGTTGCAAGATGGGTCCTGGCCTCCCAGGGTAGACTGGAGCCATCCTGTCTTTCCCAGGGGAGCTCTGGCTGTGTGGGATCACATTCATCCCCTTTCCTTGCTCAGCAGCAGAGCAGGACATTGACTAGGGTGGTGCACAGAGAGCTGCTGGGACAGGGTGTCCCCAAGGGACAAGTGTCAGTGCTGCAACTCGGGGTCACAACTTCACACCCCAGCTCTTAGCGCTCCTTCCCTTTCGCCCACTCTTCATGACCCTGTTTTTATTCTTTCCTTGACCCCTGGCTGCCCTCTTCCATTCCCTGTTCCCTCGCTCAGCCGGTGACGCCAGAGCTCCTGGTGAGCCCCAGCAGCCAGGACGGGGACCTGGGGTCCGAGTGCCCGGAAGACAGAGGAAACTGGACGGGGCGGCTGGATTTCCTTCTCTCCTGCATTGGATACTGCGTGGGCCTCGGAAACGTCTGGAGGTTCCCCTACAGGGCTTACACCAATGGAGGAGGTACTTGGGCATCCTTTAGAGTGGCCACATCTGCCCCTTCCTGAGCTGGGCTGATGGGACGTGTCTCTGAAGAGATGCCTCTTACCCTTCTCGGGGAAGTAGCATTCGTTGTTGTGGGGTGAAGCCTCCTCCTGCCCCCCATGCTTGCTGTGGGGCATTAACCACCTGTACCCATGTGTGGAAGGGACTGACCAGCCCATGTCTGCACTCATCGCCTTGGAGACATCCCCAGCTCCATGCTGGACTGAATACCACCTGAGCATCCCCCTTGGTTTCCAATAGCTTCTTGGCCTGGTGTCCTCCAGGACTCAGCGGGGTCAGCAAATGCTTCCCAGGTATCGAAGGAGGGGAGCGAGCCTTTTGCAATGCAAGAGCCCAGTGTGATGGTGCAGAGTGCCCAACTTGTTCAACTGCTTCCGGAGTAATTTCTTGTCACATGCAATAATACCTGGAAAATTTCACAGTGTTTGTGAAAGATTCAAGGAAAAAAGAGAGTCGGGAGTGGGGAGGAAGCACGGCACTGGGTGAATCACAGCCCCTTTCTCCTGCACTAATGGTGAGCCTCTGCCCCTTGCTGTCTTCCAGATTTTGGTGTAGATCCCTCAGGGCCACAGATGTTGAGTAAACTTTATTCCCTGTCATAGATGGGCTTTAGGTGTTTGCTCTGTGTTATTTTTAGGTTTTGGTTGGTTTTTTTTTCTTGCTTCTTGCAGGAGCTTTCCTGGTTCCTTACTTCATCATGCTGGCCATCTGTGGGATCCCCATCTTCTTCATGGAGCTGTCACTTGGCCAGTTCTCCAGCCTGGGGCCGCTCGCTGTCTGGAAGATAAGCCCTCTCTTTAAAGGTGCGTGAATGAAGTCCAGAGCCTCTGCGGGGCCTCTGGATGAGCTACTTGATGAGGACATGGACCAGCAGCATCATCCCATGATCGTCAAAGCTCTTGTTAGAGTCAAAGGGTAAATCCTGGGGGAAGGTGGAGCAGGCCGGACTTCTGGGTTAACTGGTTTAGTAGCTGCAAGATATGTGTGAGATCTATCAGTCTTTGAGGCTCTGGATGTCATGACCAGCTCCAGAAATTGTATGAAAATTAAGTCAGCTAGCGTACAAAATACAGCATCAAAGCTAAGTAATGACTGTTAAAGACAAAGGTAAGAATAAAGTGTTCAAAAAAAGATCAAATCAAATACTTTTACTCTCAATATCAAGTTGGGGTAAAATCCTCTGTATGATGCAATAGCTCATCAATTGAGAGAAGGCATGTCCAGAGGATATAATGGCAATAAGAGGCTCCCCCCACCAGGTGAACCTCTGACTGGGTAAACATTTGGCTGCTGAGATCCAGTGTCTGACCGTGGTTTTGGATGTGCTCTGCTCCAGAGAAATGGCTCACTCCTTCTTTACCCTCTCCTTTCTCCAGGCATTGGCATGGGCACGATCCTCATCGTCTCCCTGGTGGCCATTTACTACAATATGATCATTGCTTATGTTCTCTTCTACCTCTTTGCATCCCTCACAAGCGACTTGCCCTGGCAGCACTGCGGCAACTGGTGGAACACTGACCTGTGCCTGGACCACCACGTCATCAAGGCGGGGAACACCACCTTCCCCGTCAACATCACCAACACCGTCAGCCCCAGCGAGGAGTACTGGAGGTAAAGAGGTCAGCCCAACCCAGCCATGGGGACGTGGTTGGCATCCAGCTGGGGAGAGCATGGGGATGGAATGACGGGTGAAGGGTCTGTGCTGCATGTCTCATGGCATGGTGGGCACTCACGGTTGGCGTTGTGGGTGCAGTGATGGTCTCTTGTGGTCACCTGTGGGTGATATCTCAGTTTAGCCATTGGGATCACGTCCCTGGGATGTGGGAGGTGTCCATGATCTAGCACTGCTTTTCTGGCCTGGAGATATGTTAGACTGAAAGGCATCCCATGCCTGGACCAGCTGATAATTTGCTCTCAAGCCGTCAGGCATCCCCTCTTGGGTCTGTAATGCATGGTGGAGGAGTCACACCAACTGCTCCCCTCTCCCTGGCAAATAGCTGCCAGCACCTTGTTGCTCTCTCATTGCTGGGATTTTTGACAAGGTTATTTTTTGCAGCAGAGGCATTGCTAGGTTCAGAGAGGGCCCCTGGAAGAAGGCGGGGGGTGCCCGTGGCTGCTCGCTAGCGGTTCTCCTTTCGCCCTAGCCGGTACGTCCTGCACATCCAAGGGAGCTCTGGGATCGGGGATCCTGGGAGGATCCGCTGGAACCTGTGTCTGTGCCTGCTCCTTTCTTGGACTATCGTCTATCTGTGCATCCTAAAGGGAGTCAAATCCTCTGGCAAGGTAAGGGCTGGACAAGTCTCTTTTGGGGGAATCCACAGTGATGCTCACCAGTGCCTGCGATTCTCTGCACATCTGGGAAAGTGAGACCCAGACTGGACACAGACCATTTCAGGGATGGCTTGCACACCCAGATACCGGCAGGGCTGACACGTCTGGCTCTGCTGCATCCCAAGGATCTCAGCTCTGCAGGGTGATGCAGTGTCCCATACCGGGGACAGGGCTGTGGGTGAAACAAGTGTGTGTGCTTTTGCTCCCAGCTCTCCCAGCTGGCTCTGCTCTCCCGTAGGTTGTGTACTTCACTGCCACCTTCCCATACCTCATCCTGGTGATGCTGCTCATTCGTGGCGTGACCCTGGAGGGGGCCTGGAAGGGGATTCGCTTTTACCTCACGCCCCAGTTTGATCACTTGCTGTCTTCCAAGGTGAGCAGGAGTTAGTGCAATTTGTTCAAGACACAAAACTGAACCTTCTCCTGCCACCTCCAGCATGCAATAGAGGCGGTTCCCTTACTTGGGTGCCTTTTCTGGCCACCTCTTGACCCAAAGTCCTCTCTCTTGGTTGCTCCTAGACCAAAAGTATTTGCCTTTGAGCGATATGTTTTTGCTCCACTCGTTGTCTATACCGCTCACTTCCCAGCCCCGTGCCTGAATTTCTGGCTCTCCATGCAGGGGACAGGCTCACCACCTCTCCTGGGTACTAGGACTGTGGGCAGGATTATCCCAGCCCCTGTGATGGCCTGGGGGGTGGTGATGGGTGCCCATGGTGGAGTTGGCTGTTCAGTTTTTCTCAAGCAATCTCAGTGTGCAGAGCGGGGAGTTTCCTTGGGTCAGCAGTGTTGGTAGCAGAGACCACCCAGTTTTACAGTGGCGTTTAGTGCCCCGCTGGGCTGGCTCTAAAACACTCTCGTTAGCTCTTCCACTATCCAGCTGACCCACTACAAGCAGCGAGCATGTTAGTAAGAAAGGCAATGACCTTGTGGGCTTTGCATGCCTGGAGGGCTGGGGAAGATGTGCCAGGGGCTCTGGGGAAGCATATTTCTAACTCCCTCTTCCTTGGGAGGAGGTTTCCAAACCCCTGCTCTTCTCAGACCTGTTTCCTTCCCCCAGGTGTGGATTGAGGCAGCCCTGCAGATTTTCTACTCCCTTGGAGTAGGCTTTGGAGGCCTCCTCACCTTTGCCTCGTACAACACATTCCATCAGAATATCTACAGGTGAGAGCCAGTTGCTGTCTCGTAAAAATCATGGGTTGAGGGAAGCCATGAAAACCTCAGCTGGTGGGTTCAAAGCTAGGAGAAGCACGCAGTGCAGCACACAGTCACCCAGCACTGCTCCTTGCCTGAGCACCTTACAGACAGAGGGATCTGTGGAAGAAAATTCTTCTAAATATCAAGGCACCACGACTGACTCAAAAGTTTTGGGCTGTAGATGCTGAAGGCTGAGGATATTTGAGGCTAGAGTTATGCATGTTTGTCCTGTCCCCAGCATCTGTTGCAGGTGACCAGCAGAGAGGGGAGTCTGGGTGTTGCATGTTTGGGCTGATCCCCTCCACAGGGAAAAGCAAGCTTGGGAGGAACCCCAAAATGACCCATGTCACTAGATATATACTCCTTTTGCATCTGGAAAGTAAATACCAAGAGAGGCCCTGGAGGAAAATCACACTGGGTCACCTTGCTGTGGCATCCAGGGCTGGCAAAGCCACTACGCACTGCTGTGGGCGCTAAGAAGCGGACATGTTCAGACCATCTTCTTTCTCCTCTATAGGGACACCTTCATAGTGACCTTGGGCAATGCTATCACCAGCATCCTGGCAGGGTTTGCCATCTTCTCCGTTTTGGGATACATGTCCCAGGAGCTTGGGGTCCCTGTTAACCAAGTGGCAAAAGCAGGTGAGGCCAAACGAAGACCCTTTCTCCTTCACTCTCTTCCTGGGTGCCCTGAGGAGCAGCCCTTCCAGATGGAAGGCATCTGAGGGTGTCAGTGTGAGGGAGGAAGGTGTACGCTCAGCTGGCCAGGGAGAGGGGAGGGGGGAGACCAGTTCCTGCTGTGCAAACATTGAGCAACACCAAGTGATGTCTAATGAAAGTCTGAGCGAGGAGCAGGCTGGTTCTCCTGCACCTCTGATGCAGGACCCCTCCTGCACATCTTGCAAGAGCCCTGACAACTCTCCGCCGTGGTGCTGCTCTTCTGGGCTCTCCTATCCTCTGTCCCCCTCCATGTCCAGCGCTCTCACCCCCTTTTCACCCTGCTGTCCTTTGCCTCCCCTAGGTCCTGGCCTGGCTTTTGTGGTGTACCCCCAGGCCATGACAATGCTCCCCCTTTCTCCATTCTGGTCTTTCCTGTTCTTCTTCATGCTGTTAACCTTGGGCCTGGACAGCCAGGTAAGGACAGAGCCCACCAAGCCAGCCGTGGTGCCCAGGCCGCCCAGGGGCTCAGAGGACCCTCTTCTCCTTTTCCTGCAGTTTGCCTTTATGGAGACCATCGTTACGGCAGTGACAGACGAATTTCCCTACTACCTGCGGCCAAAGAAAGCTTCTTTCTCAGCTGTCATCTGTATTGCCCTTTTCCTGATGGGGCTCATCCTCACAACAGAGGTAAGGGTGTGGGGCTGGGTGTGTTGTGGGGACCAACTAGGGTGTCATTTTAGGGAGTAATTATGTCAGGGGCCACACTCGCAGACACGTGTATTCACATCAGGTAATAAAGTGGAAGAGAGACGATCGATGAGCCTGGGCTTCCCTGGAGATGTGAGGTCCAAGGGGAGTGACACAGCCTATTCCTGTCCCTGCACCAGCCCCAGAAGGAGAATGATGTCTCCTGAGGGTGCCTGACTGCTGTCTTTCCTAGTGCCTGCAAAGGGCATGTGTCCCCAAAAGTGGGAGGACATGGGTGGGGGTTTATTGAGATGCCGGTCCCGGGGATGCTAGCCACTCTGCTTTGCCTCCGCAGGGTGGGATGTACTGGCTGGTCCTACTGGATGACTACAGCGCTGGCTTTGGTCTCATGGTGGTGGTGATCACTACCTGCCTTGTGGTGACACGTGTCTATGGTAAGGGGGTCTGTCCCCACAGGGGCACAGAGGGGAGGGTGGCCTGTCCGTCTGAAGAAAGGATTTAGAGGGAGCGGAAGGAGAGCCAGCAGCCTCGCACTGCAGCATGAAACACCTCTGATCCAACTTCTTGTTTCTTCTTGGCCATCACTGGATTCACCTCTCCAGAGATACCTGGGGTGCTGAGGCTGGTCCCTCAGACAGCACCACCTGGACTTCCCTTCCTGCATCTCCCAGATAGAATGGGAGATGCTTCTTTGCTGTAGAGGATGCAAACCACCACTTTTGGTCAGTGCAGGGCAACCTGGTACAGGCACCTGACTCTAGGGGAGGGATCACTGCTTCTGAGTCCCTCTCCCTCCTCCAGGCATGAAGAGGTTCTGCCGAGATATCCACATGATGCTGGGCTTCAAACCAGGGCCCTACTTCAGAGCCTGCTGGATGGTCCTGTCCCCGGCAACAATGATGGTAATTGCTCAGCTTGAGGTGTTGGATGGTGCTGGAGAGCTGCAGTGGTGCCAGCATCCCTGGATGACCTCCCCTTGTGAGAAGTTGCTCTGCTGGCATTTTCTGCAGCAGGGACCATTCTGGTTCTGCTGGGAGGTCCAGGCCTTTTTTGAGCATGAGACCTCCAGGGGGCTCTGGGCTGACCTCGCTTTCTTCCCATTCCACAGGCTCTGCTGGTGTACAACATCATCAAGTACCAGCCCTCTGAGTATGGCAGCTACCGCTTCCCTGCCTGGGCCGAGGTCTTGGGCATCCTCATGGGAGTCCTCTCCTGCCTGATGATTCCCATGGGCATGGTGGTGGCTGTCCTTGGAGAAGAAGGGACGCTGTGGGAGGTAGGAGGTGTTGGGCCCCAGCATTGCTGGGGAACACCCCAGAAATGTGCAGAGGTGCCCATGAGCCCCTGCTGAGCCTGTATCCTCCCACAATTTCTGCATCCTCTCTCCTGGAGGTGTGTGTTCCTGTCCCTCCTTGCTGCCCATGGGGTGTGAGAGACGGCACGTGACATTTCCAGCAGTGTCCCCTCCTGTGATGCCAGGCAGACCCTGGGGCATGCTGCTTCCAAGGGCAGTCCTGTGCACATCTGCCCCTCCAAAACAAGCCTGCTATGCCTTGCCCTTCGGGGAAATACATTGTCCCTAGAGTGGGGTGGGCATGGGCACAGGGGACTTTGCACCCATTTTGCAGGAGCAGTGACAGAGCAAGGAGGGCAGCTGCTAGGCTGTGCAGGCAGCCCCAGGCAGCACAGGTGGGATCCCTCAGCTGAAAGGCTTCCTCCAGGAGCAGGTTATGGAGCTGCTGGCTGCCCACAGCTGTCCCAGCCCTGGCTGGGCTTTGCTGCTCTCCCCAGGCTGTTAAAAGCAGAGGCAGCAGAGCTTGCTGCCCTCCCCAGGCAGCAACTCGCCAGCTAGAGCACTTACTGGCTGCAACCTGGCTTGGCACAGCCATGGGCGCAGTGGCATGGCCAGGAACCACCTTGGCTGAGGCTAGCCCCTTGCCTGGGTAACTCTAACCCCACACCACAGGGCCACAGCCCTACAATAGCCCCTAGCCCCAGCAAGCCCTCACCACTGGCACCCACAGACCGAAATACCTCCCCAGCCCATAGCATGGCACTTATTCAGAGCTGCCTTCCCAAAAAGCTTCAGGACAAGCTTTTGGCCTCCATGCCATCCTCATCAGGGGGTCTTCCAGTCCCTCGGGGCTGGCAGAGCTCACCGTCCCCCAGGAGGGTGGGGGTACTGTCCGGGGAGCGGAGGGGGTGCCGGTGCAGGGTGTCCGTGCTCCCTCCGCTTGTCTCCTTTCAGCGAGTCCAGCAAGCCAGCCGGCCTGCCATGGACTGGGGCCCATCACTGGAGGAGAACCGGACCGGCATGTACGTGGCGAGTCTGGCCGGCAGCCAGTCCCCCAAGCCGCTGCTGGTCCACATGCGGAAATACGGGGGCATCACCAGCTATGAGAACACAGCCATCGAGGTGGACCGGGAGATAGAAGAGGAGGAGGAGGAGGAGTCCATGATGTGAGGGGACCCAGTGCCCTGCGGCCTGGGAGGGGGCTCACCCCCCACACCCCCCCCCCAAGGTTGCACTGCAGTACTTCAGGACAGCTCAGGGGGGTCTTTTGGGGAGCAGTCAGGAGCTGCCGACCATGCCGGTCTCCTCACCACTGCCAGGATGGAGCTGCAGCCCGTCTCAGTGCCCCCGAGGTGTTTCTGTTCAGTGTGACAAGCTGTGTGACAAGTCCATGCATTTGTGTGATGGTGTCTGGTGCAAGTGTCCAGGCTGCCCCGCTCCCACCCTCGGCCCCAGCCCTGCCTCCCCACGCAGGGATGCTCGGGCTGCAGGGATGTTCAGGCTGCAGGAGGTGGGGAGGAGGAGGAGGTCCTCTGTGTTGATCTGTTCTCTGCTCGTGTGTATTTAACTCCAATAACCCACAAACATGTGTGAGGAAGGATTGGAATGTCCTCCATACCCTGAGGACGGTGTGTGCTGGTGTGTTCCACTCACACAGGGGTACTCCAGCAAAATCAGTACAAATCAGTGTCCTGCTAAAGAAATCCGACCTAGTAAATGAGCAGTTAAAAACAATTAAAAGAAAAAAAAAAAGCTTTATAAACAAATCAGCTTGGGCCTTTTCATGCTTGTAGATCCACCAGGCACCTTGGTGGGTCAGGGCAGGTCTTCCCCATGGTGCCTGGCAGGATGGGGGCCAGCTGAAGGAAGGGAAGAGGCTGGGAGACCTGTTCCCCATGTGTGCAGGAAATCAGGAACATGTCTCAGCTGGACCCAGTCCCAAAGGAGGACCCGTGTCCATCACGGAGGGGGATCTGAAGGCTGTCCCTAGCCCTGGGTGCTGCTTTTCCCAGGGAAAGGTGAAGGGCTGGGTTTCAGTGCCTTCGTGTGATTTTGGGGTAGCTCAGCCTGGGGCCTATGTTCCAGAGACCCCATCTCCCGCTGACACTGCTGGCCTGGGGGGTGCCGGTGAGCTCCTGGTCGGGGCTGTTCGGCCTGACGCTGCCAGTCCCCTGGTGTCGTGTGCGCCTTCTCCCATGAACCATCAGCTCACCATTAAAAAGCGGTGTGTGACACAGCCTCTATGTGGGTTATTTGGGGGGTCCTCAGTATGTAAGAAAGGCACATCTAGGGGGGTTTCCAGGGATGAGGGGCACAGGCCCGCTGGGCTTTGTCTTGCAAATCTCTGCCCTGGTCGGGTAAAAGCCAAAAACCTAGGATAAACAGAAAAAATTAGGCTTTATGCCTGGAGTATGCACATGGCCCGGGTGCACTGGGCTGTTAACCCCATGGGCCATGCAGCCCTGGGTCCAGCTCCATGGGCTGAGCCTTCAGGGTGAATCCTGCCACCCTGGTTTTCCTTAAGAGTCCTTCCCTATGGTGGAGGAGATTTAATTACTGCCTTCGCCCCTCCGAGAGCGTAGGGCCAGCTCCAACAGTTTCTCCCCAATGCCTGGGGATGCTGAGCTCCCTCCCCATCCAGCTCTGCCCTTCCTTTTCCCTGCAGGACCACTGATGGCTTTCCGTGTCCTCCTTGCCATACCCCACCGTGGCTGCAGCTCGCGGGGGTGATGGGGGTCCCTCAGTCCCAGCTTCTCTGGGCACGTGGGGCTCTGGCAGCACGACCCTGTTGCAAAGCACCTTCGGCCGCCAGCCCCCGCGTTAATCATTAGAGGTTGGCCATAAAAGTGTCGCTGATGGAAAGTTCAGGCCGTGGCGGCTGGGGAGCAGGGAGGGCCTGCCATAAACATTTATAGCCCCAATGAATCCCTCGCTCTAACCTTGACACTATTTACCGAGCAGGAGGCCTTGGGAGGTCATGATGTTGCCCAGCCATCGCTGTGGGTGCTGGCCAGGGAACCCAGGCTGGGCTGGCCCTGGGAGGGGCACATGGGGGGTCTGCATGGTGTGATGGAGCGGGCAACAGACTCCGGTGTTTCATGATGTGCCTGCTGGCCACAATGTGCCAGAGCAAGCAGGAGAGTCTGATGCCTTCCCACAGCACGGAGATGGAGGTGCCTCGGTCTGACCAAGCTGGTCTGGTCTCTGCATGTCTCTGACCTTTTTCTTTCTACCCACATAGGGTAGCAGAGTGCCCTGCCACATTCCCCAAATCCCGCCCCCCCATAATCCCGGAATCCTCTGGGCTCTCCCTTGGCAGTTGCCATCAATCAGTGTTGTGTTGCAGAGCTATGGGAAGGACGGAGCAGACTATGCCAGTGATGCGGTGGTGGGCAAAGTTGACAGTGGTGAGGGAAAGCCAAGGGCAAAAGGTGCCAGGGCAGTGGCACAGCCAGAGGACATGTCCCCTGGGCCACGTGTGGCTGTGCACAGGGAGGCGTGGGACTCGCTCGTGGCAGCGCGCCCTGTTCCCAGGACCGCTGGTGCATCTGTACCCTGCACCGCAACG